AGTCACCAATGGCTGGGCATTCGTCAACCCTACACCAGTCTCCCATGACTGGGCTTCCGTTAACTTTTCACCAGTCTCCCATGACTGGGCTTCTACTAAACCTTCACCAGTCACCAATGGCTGGGCATTCGTGAACCCCACACCAGTCCACTATGATTGGGCTCCCGTTAACTTTTCACCAGTCTCCCATTAGCGGACTTCTGCGAACCTGTCAGTCCCCCATGACTGAAGTTTAGCTATAACCACTCAGTCCACTATGCCAATTATGATGAATAAGATTTTGCTACAACCCATTTTTGCTACTAATGATGAGAAGGAATTTAAAAACACAAATTATTTGGGGAGAATTAATACGGTCATCATATAAAAACATGCCTTCACCGACAGAAAGATAAATTAAACATGAATAGACAAATATATTTTCTGTTGAATTATTTTGTAGTACAGTATATTTATTGGTACGGCAATCTAACAAGTGATTCATTATGTTATCATCTTCTCATTTCCTGCAAGTAGCTAAACAGTTTGGTATTTAGCTAAGAAAAACAATGTACAGTGCATGTACATGTAGTACCAGGTATATTAGACTAGCTAAAAATGGTATTCTATTTTAGTGAATATTAGTTTACCTGTTTGATGTATATGTAAAAAAATGCTAACCAGTGAAACAGTTTGCTCAGTTATTGGCTTTTAATTATCAGTTTTATCCGTTAGAGATCTGACACATAACCAAGTTTTGTTTAGTAACCACAATAACTTCGGTAACTAAGAGTGACAGGGTTCAACAAAGCAATGAGAACACTTATCTACATGTATATTCTAGTCTAAAACATGCGTCCAAAGTCCTTTAGAAGAACCAATCTACATTGTAAATTCTGAATTAATGTGTATATAGTACCATAGTTATAATCCTACTACAATAATTAAGTAGACTGTAATCAAAGTAGTAACACATTAAGAATATGAATTTGGGTCAGTTACTGTATATTAGCCATCCTCCATCTATCAGCCTTTAACAAAGTCAAACTCCATTTTTAACAATGACATTTTCAGCTTATGCACAGTAAAAATAACATTGTATTAAATACATGTATCAACTACATGTAGGAACAATATGTGTATATACCTTTAGAAAATAAAATACAATACAATGAAAAGAGGTGTGAGTACATAGCTCATAAATTAAAAAACACACATTAGGAAAAGTCATTGATTGTATCTGAACATGGCTATAACAATTAACTGCTTTTTCTACAAGTCATGTACAAAATGTACATTGTATGCTTGCATAGGTTTTGGATGAGTTCCAAGATCCATAAAGCAAACACCCCTAGTGTACCACTATTTGACCCATGTGCTAGAATATTCTTTGGATAATAAGCAGTTACAGTTGTATCTGTAAGTCTTCAAAGTTTCAAAAAAGGAAGTAATTTTTGTATAACATTAATAGTGACACAATGATTGGTGTAAACAAGAGTTTTACTATTATAAACTATGGAGGGGTAATGTAAACAATTCCAACAGAAAAAATGCCAGAAAAACGTTAAATTTATAATGAAAAACAATAGCAAAAAAAAAAAAAAAAAAAAAACAATTTTCATGGTAGTTCTGCTATCTTCCCTTAAAGAGTTTCCAATGATCAACTCCTGAATGTTGATAAATAATCTGAAATTATTAGTGCCAGGAAAATCGCTTCATCCGGATTAGGACAATTGCGTGCCATGTCTGAATTTCTGTAATTTAAATTGTTACCACTACTTGAACAATGGACACATCACACTTTATGCTACCATATCAAAATAGAACAGTAGTTGTCATTGCTACCATATACATGTAAAAAGATAAAATGAAACTTGGTCCCCTTTAAAGATAAACGTCCAGTTACTGATCACAGTCAAAAAACTTGTCATATACATCATATCAATTAAACATGTACATGTATACACATCACTTGTTTGAATTCAAGATGGCCGAATGGTGGCCATTTTAATGATAAAATGCATTAAAATCAAGCATTTCAGACATTCGCAACCAGATCTTGGTCATCATTGGACATATTTTTTTCAAATTTGGTATGTACATTGAAAATGATAGGAATTTAATTGCTTTGTTCTGTAATTGCATGAAATTGTTTTCTTTCTCACATCATTTTTTTTTTGAATCTACATTTGATGTTTAGCTCAAAAGACGTCATTTTGAAAAATATATTGATGGCAATATTCCTGCTCAATTCTGTTTACGCAAGCAACTTTTTTGCAAGCGTGTCATTCGTTAAAATAGGTTTGAATGATGTGCATACATGGAACTAATAACATCATGTGATTTCATGAGATTTTCATTGCCAACATTGAAATGTATCGCAATACGTGGATATCAAAGTTGCATACATTTACCATTCTTATGCATATAGCCATAAAGTTATTTAAAAGATGTGCTCGCATATCATGTACAGTTTTATTGACCGATGCATATTAATTACTACTGTTTTTTTTGGTTATTTTCAGAATACACAATCATCAGCTTGTCAGACATACATAGACAATCACAATGTCTCATCGGAAGTCAATCATCGTGACGGGTATTCCCTCGGGTGCAAGCAGAGACCAACTGCAGATATATTTTCAGCGCAGTTCAAACGGTGGTGGTGACGTCACCAGTGTAGTCTATCCACTGAATCCACAATCAGAAAGCATGAAAGATGTTGCCATGGTTACATTTGACAAAGAAGAAGGTATTCCTTTCACATTAGTATTACATATAAAAAGGCTATACCATTAAACATTTTTATTTATTTTCTATGTGCCTATATTATAGTTATTTGATTTATGTGTTTTGTCTATAACAAAACAATAAAAAATGAGACTAACATACCTTTCCAACGGTCTGTGTTACACTATTATAATGGGTTCTAAAGGAACAAATGCTGCTATCGAAAGCAAATTATTCATGTATACATGTACCCTTCTGCATGCCTGTATATTTGTATGTATAAATTATGCTTTATTTTCGCTTGGAATTATTTTTCACTATTTTTGCTGAAGGAGTGATTCAGTGAAAATAAAATTTAGCCAATATACCTTTTTGCCTATCTTTTACATTCAATTAGCCAAAAATCAGTGAAAATAAATTCCATACAAAAACACCAAAAAAATTGTTTTCAGCAAAAATTAATTTTAGCTAAAATAAAGTAATTTACACTATTTGACTGTCATCGTGTATTGTCATAGCTCAGTTCAAACAGTTTGATAAAAATACTCAAACCATTCCATTTTTGTATATGAAAATGTAGATCATTTACAATCTAAATACATATTTGTATTTTCAGATTGTCAAAGAGTGCTTAGCAAAGTACAGACCCTAAATTCAACACTTTTGGAAGTGAAGCCTCTACCACCACAGGTAATCACAAACACTGGATTCTTACTCTGAAACATAGATGCAAAGAATAAGCTAACATGTTCACCTGTTCAACTCCATGTCAATATGTTTTCGCGACTGAACCTTAAATATGTTATCTCGTGAATTAAACCCAACTTTTTTCATCTTTTACAAAATATACCTGCGTAAGTTAATAAACTAAAGTTATCGAAAAATACACAAGTTGTCATACCAATATTTTGGCAGGAAAATAAATAGAACTAGAAGGGGTTAATATCATGTTTTGGTGTTTATACCTTTGAAGTCTGTGTGTATAGTTTTAAAGTTCAATTCAATAAATTTTGTATTGGTGAATGTGAGTACGTATACAAAATCAGCCTTACATGTACATGTACATGCTGATAATTCATAAAAAGTTATTGAAACCAAACTGTATTTCAATACTAATCAGGATAATCATGTTATGTGAATTTCTTGTTTGTAGGTTTTCAGTAACTTATCGGCTACAGTGAATGCTGATTTGTTGAAGACAATACCACCAGCTAAGGTTAAGAATCTCATTGAATCTGTTCAACAAGATTACGGAATCCACTGCAAGTACAGATTAGACGACTCAAAGTCACTCATAAAATTTGAACTCAAGGGTAACTGGCACCAGCTTTCTCTTGCTCAGAAGTTGCTACAGAAGTACTGTCCCATCCTGGATGAGGAATCTTTGCCTGTTAATGGCTATGCTAGTTCTGATGATCCTAAGTCTCTGAGACATGTCAGCAATGGACCCGATCAAGAACACAGTCTGGGACAGAGATTGTTTGACCAATCTCAACGTAATGGACCTTTATCTAATGGTTACAGTCAAGATCAACAACCTTCCTTTGAAACATCATCTATCAATGGAAATAGAAGCATTCCAGTAGACAGCCAGAACAGTGCACACATGCTAAAATCAAGAGAAGCTACTGGTCAACGACCAAGAAGTAGAGCTGGTCGGGTTAAAGGTTCAACTCTATTTTCCAAAGTTTCTGATCATGGTGATGCAATAATGGAACAATCTGAGGACCAAATGTCATGGGACTTAGAACCAGACCATGACACTGAGTTGCTGTTTTCCAGGCTTGACAGTGATGTTGTTGAAGACAAGGTCGACCGGCTTGAGTCTGTGAGTAGTCCTGTTCCTGTTGATGTTGATTTCTACAAGTACCTGAATCATACACAGAGCCAACAATTACTTTCAATAGAGCAGGAGTTTGACGTGAAATTTGTTTGTGATTTGGGCAGTGATGCAGGTATTTTACAGATCTTGCCTGGATCTAGTAATACAACTAAAGACCAGATTCAGATGGCCAATGAGAGTTTCATAGTACTGTACGAAAACCTATTTCGTACAACAACAAAGTTTGACCTACTTCTTCCAACTGGTTTCCAACATGCAGATCTAGTAGAGAAGACAGTGGAAGATACACACAAGAGATACAGCAAGGTGTTCATGAAATTTGAGGAGGCAAATCACTATGCTATGTATGGTGACAAAGATATCCTTGAACGTGCAAAGAGGTACTTCTACAAAACAATAGTAGAACTACTTAAAATAGATGAAAGGGATACAAGCCAGCCACATACTTTGCAAATTGATAATGGTTCTATGGATCATGAGAACCAGCAGAAGATGGACTTGTTTCCTGATCGCAATGAACCGAAAGTGACAGAAACCGAGGCACTCTCAACTTGACAACACCCAACAGCCATGTTCCAAAAGCTGATCAGCTAGATGCAAACCAATCAGATTGGCTAGCTGATGGAAGAATCAGTCAAAACGCTCTGAAACGCAGCGTCACAATTTTGAGTGATGGCAGACGCGAGTTGTCCTTCTTAACAGAAAGTGGTATCAAAGTACGACTTTATTGCGCTGATATCACAAAGTTGAATGTTGACACGATCACCAATGCTGCTCACGAACAGCTAATCAACACTGGGGGTGTTGCTTACTCAATTCGCAAAGCAGCTGGGCGTCAGTACCACCGTGAGTGTGAGGAGTACATTGACAACCATGGCCCTTTGTATGTAACTGAAGTCATCCACACTGGTGCTGGTGAACTGCCATGTAAAGACGTGATGCATGCTGTTGGGCCAAGATGGGAAGACTATAAGAACAAAATTGAATGTTTGGACACATTAAGAGCCACATTTGTCAACTGTCTCAAGCATGCTAACGATCTTCTGCAAGCAACATCAGTTGCTATTCCTCCAATCAGTGCAGGTATGTATATGTCTGGCATGCACTCCGCACGCAAATAGGTCTTTACCACATTTTCAATTAAAAAGTAAATGCTCATTGTTTTCTATTGCAAGGAAAACGTCTATAAATATTTCTCTTTAGAGTGAAAACATAATATATATGTAGTTCTGAAATAATTAATCACAAACATACTTTGATATTAATTATTGTATAGTGGTGTACACATGGTAACCATAAGTACCAAATAAAATGCCTGGTGGTAAGAATAGTATGGCATGCAGTACAAAATAAAGGGAAATTACATTTGATACAAGTTATAGCTTTATACCAAGCATGGCTGCTAATTCACACATCAATGGTGACTAATTTACATAATGAATATATCATAATTGTCAATACAATACATTAATCTGTATTTTTAAGAGTTGTCTAGGAGAACAATAATTTTGCAACATTCAATATTTTATACTGACAGTTATATTTCCTCTTGTTTTGTCATTCAGGTATCTTTGGTGTACCTTTGGATATGGTGGCACAGGGAATGTTTGATGCTGTGATGGAATTCAGTGAGAAGCATTCTAGAGACAAGGGTAACAGGACACTCTCTGATATACACTATGTTGATTATGAGATGACCACAGTGACTGACATGCGAAAGGTCTTCATGGAAAACTTAAAGATTATGGCATCTGGTGAACTCCCAGAGGCACGACTGGGTAGTTTAGTTGATGTTATGCCAGAAAGAAGTGCATCACCAATAGAAGACATCCGCGCAAGACCTACAAGCCCCGTGCAGTCGACACAAGAACAAATTGGGCGACCTGGAACTCCTCCTGTATCGTCAACCCAAAAGGGGATGCAACG